AAATATTACCTTTTGCCTCATTTGCCACTTGAGAAAAATATCCGATGTAGTCCCTACTATGTCATAAATAAACGAATTTAAAAAAAAATACACTATCTTTGTGATTGCTCAAAAAGGTAGGGGCCGGGACAGAACAGCAGGAGAGGATTCCAAAGCAGTCAACAGCCTTTAAATTTCCCAAGAAATCCTGCTTTACTGTGTCCCCCAAGAAAATAACCTCCCCACAAATCATCAATGCCATTGTTTGAAAAGCACATTAAGTTTTATCTGTAAAATTATAAATGGATGGTAAAGGACATCAAATATAATTTATAAACATAAATTCTATACCAAATCATTATTTCCAACCATAAATACTAGAGCAAAAAGGATAAATGGAAAGGGGCTTGAGAAAAGACTACTATACAAGAGTTTACCTTCAAACAATTTACTGTTTGCACATCAACAAATCTGTCTCATGAGAAATAGGAATAATCTTTTTATATAGAACCACAGTGTAAAAATAGGATTCTATTTACATAAACATTCAACTTACAAAATTACTAGCATGTAAAATTTTAAAGGCGATAAAATCCTATAAACAAATGAATAGCATTTTAAATGTACTATTTTGCAAATGCAAATTCCACAAAGTAAACTACAAAGGAATGGCATACCTGTGTTTAATTCAAAATTATCATTTATTTGTGGGCTTATACTAAGCAACAAATATTTGACATTACTATCTATAGGAAAATAGACATATGAGCTCCAACAGTCTTAAGAGTGAATTTTCTTACAAGTACTTTATTGTGAAGTCCTTCAGAAATTTTCCAAGATTATAAAATGTTACTTTTATCATGTACTATCACAGCTGCATCTTTAATATTCCACTGAGGCCTGTTAGGTAGTATTTGAGGGCACAGATCAAAACTGTTTTATTCAACTTCTCCAACGGTTCCCAGGAAGAAAGTGGAATGTGAGAGCCCTACACTGGATGAGTCCATTTTACATTACTTAAATGTTTATTTGGTAATTAAAGATAATTATTTCTGGAAATATAGTTCACATGAAAATAGTCTTTTCTTAAATATGGTACTTAATGAGCAAATAAAAGTTAGTATCCAAGAATCAAAATGAGACTAACCAGCCTTAAAAAAATAAAATCACAATGCTTGCTAAGAATTCCTTCATAAGAGTTTCAGTTGGTTTTGTTTATAAAGTTACATGCATGTTTTGCTTTTTTTTAAAGTTTCTGTAAAAAATGTTACTAATAAACAATCTATAAAAAGTTATGTCCATTGAAACTCCAATCAAGTACTTACTCAATGCAAGAACACTTTGTTCTGCTAAATTGGCATTCCATGATGCACACCTTCCCGACACGATCGCGGAAGACAAGTGTGTGCATAAGCAAATCCGGTGAAGAAAGCTGATGGTGCCCGGCTATCAAAAGATATAGCTTCTGGGGTCTTAAAGGCTGGCAGGTAAACAAGCAGCCATCTAGCTTAGAAGCAACAAAGTCCACATGAAAGAAGCACACCAGTCTGTGTGACCACGAGGTGTAGAAAGGACCAGGTATCAGGCATCAAAGAATAAAAGATCATATCAGTGGGTGCCCATTTTCCCGATATGATCACTGAAGACAAATGAGTACATAAGCAAATGTGGTGAAGAAAGCTGATGGTGCCCGGCTATCAAAAGATACAGTGTCTGGGGTCTTAAAGGCTTGAAGATAAACAAGC